CCGGTGAGATTTGAACCGCCGAACTTCAGATAACAGTCAGCTGAAGTGGCCTGCAGTACTGCACCCTAACTACTGCCTCTCTGGTTAATCCTAATTACATTGTAACACTAAGGCAAAGCACCCATCAACGTGAGTGATGTTGAGTTGGCCACGCCCACACGGTCACATGGCCAGCGAGCCACGCCTACCCAGGTGGGCATTAGGGCAGAGAACCGGTTGTTAAATTATTTGAATCCCACCACTGACATGTATGTGTGTTATACACCATCCACAGTCATTTTGAAATGAGCAGTTTTTACTAATCCAATAAAGTAAATTAATGGTGACACAGAACACTGATGTCCAATATTTTCCGCCTCTCTTAAAAATAATACAAGAATCAGACCTTGAACTGCTCAAGCATCCTGGACCAGGGGTGAGTTGCTGCTGGCATTGCTGCCAGTTAGCTTTGCACAAGCTTTGTTTGCATGCATGCCAGGCATGCACTGTGCATGTGTTCACAGTTGACTATACATTGTTCTGCGCATGCACACATTTAAAAATTACTAAAAAGGGAAAAGGGCGCCCTATAAATCCTAATAAAATACTAAAAAAATACTAAATACTAAAATACTAAAAAAAAGATGCCGGCAACAGCATTGGCAACTGGGGAACCGGTTCAGGGGCGTGGCCAGCCTGAGTTGCTGCCAGTTTGGGTGACCAAGGCCAAAATACCACTACCAATTCTCCCGAATCAGTGCGAACCGGTAGCAACCCACCTCTGTCCTGGACACAACATTCAACATTTCCTGCATGAGCAGAGGTTGAACTGGAAGACCTCCAAGGTCCCTTCCAACTCTGTTATTCTATTCTATTCTATTATATTATATTCTGTATGTGCTGCTACTAACACTTGTCCTGTAGGTTCTTACAAGTGGTTTTGAGCTCCCTTCCCAACTGCCATTCAAATTTCAGTCTCAAGGCTTATATTTGCCACCTGAGGCTGAAAATATCTCACATGGCATTTGTTCTCCTCTGGCTAATGCAAAATAAATTAAATGCTAATCTTATACACTAATAGTACTGAAATGATTTGTGGAATGTACATACTTATTCCATACTGCATTTACTGTATACTAGAAAATTTCTCCTTGGTTCTAGGATGCTTATCTCCTCGGAGTCGGAACCCTGTCCAGGGTCCTCCACATCCTCCAGAGCCGATTCATAGGGTCCCTGGCTGTCGGAGTCTGGTGGCAGCTCCAACGGCTCCTGCTGGGCCACAACACAATGTANATCTCACCGGCTCAGGGTTGACTCAGCCTTCCATCCTTCCGAGGTGGGTGAAATGAGGACCCAGATTGTGGGGGCAATATGCCGACTCTGTAAACTGCTTAGAGAGGGCTGAAAGCCCTATGAAGCGGTATATAAGTCTAACTGTTATTGCTATTGCTACCTTCAGTAAGGAATATAATGATCAGTGGTGGGTTGCAGGGGGTACAACCCGGTACAGGTGTACCAGTGCCTGCCCGGAGCACCAGGTACCGTTCCGGTACGGGCTGTAGCGGGCCGACCTACCCGTAATCCTTACCTGTCTTTAAACTATTCAGCGCTTCCGTGCACACGCACACAGCACGTACAGCACCTGTGCGATGCGCCACCAAGCAGGTGGAGCGTCGTGGAGGTGTCGCTGGAGGGTATGTGCACATGTGTATGCGCGGTGCATGCATTCATGTAAAGGACACCGGGCCCCGTTGCAACCATACTGGTTGCAACAGGATCCAGAACCCACAACTGATAATGATGTACAGTAAAACCTCAGTTTAAATCTGATGGATTAGCAATTTTTAGGAGAATGAGTTAATTTTTCATCCAGACCACCCCTTAAAATAAATGATAGCTTGTTGCATTCAAAGTAATCTGGACAAAGCAGTTACATTCATATTAAATTTTACCTTAATTTTATGACATCCTGGGCAATTTAGTGGGGAGTTGGAGATACAGGGCAAATGCCACGTGTCCTTCCTCAATCTGCTGCCCAAGATATACTGGACATCACTACAAATACTCATCTCTATAAACTACTCTTTTGCTCAGTGTTCCTTAACTACAGCAACTTTTATAGTTATTTATAAATAAAACATTCAATGGACTAATCAATTGTTGACCTGAAACAGCAGGTTAGGGAAAGATTGTCACAAAGAAAATCTGTCTATGTGATTGTTGGGGATTAAAGACAACTGGATGGCTCATAACCCCCAATTCTTGGGTGCCTACAGTTTTGTAGAAGATTCCTTCTCTAGTTAGCATCATGGATCTTTCAGGAGCCTTTGAAGCAGGCACTACGAGAGTCCTCAAAGAAGTTGGTCAAAGCATGAGATAAGCTTGGTTCCATCGTAGTTTGTGTTTGTCCTGCCTTCACATTTCAGGTGTGGGAGAGGCCCTCCCTGGCTTTCATTCCCTGAATTCAATAGAAAAATGTGAGATGCAGTTCATTCATTTAATTTTTTTCTAACTTCTACGGCATAATCCATTTTTAAAAAAGAAAGATGAAGACAACACTTAGAAACAAAACAGAACACGTTCGTCTGAAAGTACGGCAATAATTCAGAATTCAGCAAGGAATGCAAAAATTTTGAAATTTATCCAATTTTTCCCTTTAAACATTTATTTTTTTTTAAAAAGAAAAATGTGTTAGCAATTGGGAATGAAACAATTATTCATTTATTAGTAAACTAAATTATAACAAACATAAGACAAGCAAAAGTCCATTTGGAGGAAATGGTTTCTTTAAAATTTAGAACAAATACGGTATTCAGCAAGTAAACACATCAAACAACAAAAGTTTTTTTTTATTTCCCTAATGTTCTTGATAAAATAAGCATAGCTTTTTTTTCTAAGATAGGGGATGCTGTTACTTGATATAGTAGCGATGGTACCTATATAACTCTGAAAGCAATGCATTGCATGATTTGCCCAGCTTGAAGTATGAAAATATTCATGCGTTTTATACTATAAATTCCATTAAAATGTTTTCCATTTGTTTTATGCTTTCATGGGCTAGATATTTTATATAAATATATAAAGTAGATTAAGCTAATAGCTGTAAATTGTACGCAAGTTATCTAGAGTTATAGCAACCTGGCTAATATTTTCCCTTTCCTTCCCCCCACTCCAAAAAGAACAATTTCTAATAAGAAAAAAAACTAGCATGGATAATGAAAACCAGAGGAAAATATTTGTGCTATCCCCCATGTCATTCACTTTAAATGAATATAAATGTTTGGATGTATCATAAGCATACGTTACGGTTAAAATTATGCCACTGTTTAAAGTATCATTCATAGTGCCTGATTTCAGGCTTGGAGCAGAATCAAAACCAGTTTGGAATCATAGCAAAAGAGAGAGGAAAATAGGAGGAGTTAGGTACATTGGATATGTTCATATCCTTGAGTTATCTGTAAAAATAATAAAGGTGGCAATAAATAAATAAGTAAATAAATCAACCAATCAATCATTCTAAATGAATGACAAGAAGCAATTTGCATCTCTGCAACATGTTTGGACTAGATTAGCAGGAGGAAGTTGCCATCAAGAAAAGTAGCGAAACGCCATTGGAAAATATTCCTGCAAATGCTTTCATTTCGTAGTGAAGTTCTGAAGCAAATTTTGATTTTTCATAGCTGTCGGAAAAAATTAACTCAGAAAATAAAAATTCACGTAGTTTTAAATACGCTGGTAAGAATATAAACCTTTTGGCTCCAGCCCCCCTCGACTGAATGCTTATTAAGAATCTAGGTTGGAATTCAACAGCAGCCAGTTATTAGTCCTGCCTCCGTTAGAGCCCGCAAGCAGTATTTGTGTTAGCTGTGCCTATAATCTGGTGTTCTCAAGAGAAATAATTTTAAACATGGATGTGCCGGTGGCTCTTGTGACTGATACCTGTTGACATATGTGTCCACTATGAATCTCTCTCACGTATTTTAAAAGTTCCATAAGCAAGCTGTTATACAAGTGTCTCCTGGAGTTCAGGAGTTATGCAATATAATCTTGCAATAACTTGAATCATTTGCCTCTCCTTGACCTCCCCTGAGGATAGATCTGCTGCTATCTCATCTTGACCATTTTATTTATTGACCGCATAGCACATTGGTGGGCAACTTATGACATCCTTCAGCAATGAAAAATACAGTCCCTGAACGTGGCACAACAAAACCGCGAAGCCCTTATCCGCTGAGACATAAGCGCGTCGCTAAAGCCGCGATGTCATCACCACCGCGACAACAGCGCGGCAACAGAAGAGCGCTTTAAAACGGCGCCGCGGCAGAAAGCCGATTTCAATTAAGGTAAGGGTTAGGATTAGGTTTAGGGGTTTGTTTTAGGGTTAGGGTTAGGTTTAGGGTACTGAGTGCTTGGGAATGCGCGGATTTGCCCTCTGCAATTGTCATCGCGGTAGGGTCGCGTTTTTCCTTAGCGCTTCGAACGGCGCGAATTAGTCTTCGCGCTTATGTCTCCGCGGATAAGGGATTTGCGGATTTGTGGTGGAACCATCCCTGAAATTACAAGGATCCTAGTTCTCTGCATGGTCAGCTAACGAAGAGTTAACTGGGAGCAGGGACTTAATGAACTGGAGCAACATCTCCAGGAGCAAACATCTGTGTTGCCCCTTCCAGGGATCTTGGACTATTTGTGTGACATCAGATGTTTATTGAACAGATTCAATACAGTATCAAAATTACAGCATAGTAAATGTACTGGATCCTAGTTGTAGCTGCACATAGTACAATCTAAATGATCTTCCACTATAAATATGAGTATGGGAATGAAAGTAGGCTTTTCGTCATGAAAACCTATACAATTCCATTTCAAGGTGACTGAGATCCCTAACTTTTTTTGCAACACATTATCTTGGAAGTAAGGATGGATGACCTGTTATGGGCCTGCTCAGAAATGTCTCTGGGACACAATATGAGACCTAGAAATGCCATGTGCTTGATTCCCACCTACTTCCCCAGGTACTGTGAGGTCTGGTTCCTGATTTTTTTTTCATGCCTGTCATCTTCCTTTACCCTATTTAGGAAGCTTGAAAAATCTCCCAAATAAAACTATATCTGCCTTGGCAGCAAGTCTCCCTTTAAAGCAGAAAATGAAAAGCACTGAAACACAATTGAGAAGTGATGGTCACTATTAATTCCCGTCCCATTGTATTCCATGAGATGTAGTTGCAATACATTTGCTAGAGTGTACCTAAACTGCTTCAGTATTACAATCATCTACTTTGGGACCTTACCATTTTTATTACAACCTTATGGGATTTATTTAATAAATTTGAGAACCACTGGTATTTTCTAGTTTTTTTTTCTTTCATCTCTCCATATGTGCTCATTTATCTAGCTTTGGACAGGAAATGACAACACATTTTTGCCCTTTTCCCACATGTAATATGAAACTGATAGTTGCTTTCTGATAAAAGGAAGGTTGATGAAATCAATGTAGCTAAATTGGTAAACAAAACCAGGCTCCTTGAGCATGTGATCCTCTAAATTCTATAAAATCTAATTGGCATGGGGGTGCGGTGGGGTGGGGGAACCTTCAAGGATAAAATAAATTCCTTGTTTTGTTATACATGCAGGTAGTTAGTGTCTGGCTACCTATCTAACTGTGTGATGTTGAAATGTTCTAACGGGAAATGTACAAATAATATTCTTCAAGAGCATTCCCAACCAATACAGGTACTATTTATCTAAACCTGCAAGTAGTAGTACATCTACCAAATCTGGGCTGCAAAAATCTGGATAAGCTCTAAATGGCAGCAACATGTCAGAATTTTGTTCCTGTCTTTGCCACCATCTAGTAGATTTCATTTCATTTCATTTCATTTTCACTTTATTTGTATGCCGCCCTTTTCCCTGGGGGGACTCAGGGCAGCTCACAGTTCAAAAGGGGGGGGGNGATCTGAGCCGGTCAGGATCGAACTGCTGGTGGTAGGCAGAGCCAGCCTGCAATACTGCATTCTCACCACTGCACCACCACGGTTCTTAATATATAAGGTGGTTGGAAAGCAGTACTGCAGGCTATTTTTGCTGTCCCCCTGCAGTAGGGCAGTTCAAATCTCACCACGCTCAGGATTGACTCCGTCTTCCATCCATCCGGGCCTTGAGTTGGACACCTCTGATCTAGATCAGGGTTGTCCAAAGGTGCTTTTTCAAGAGGCAACTGGACTTATTATTTCTTCTCGTTCAAGAAGCTCCTCCGCGTTTCACGTTCTCCCTTTCTCCGAAATTCGCTTGCAGCCTCCTTTGTGGACGGCGTCCTGCCGCTCAATATGGAAGCCAGCCAGCTGCTCTCGGATACCTTTGAGATCTTGAGCTGCAAGGAGATCAAACTCTCGGCCATGAGATCCAGACCAGAAGAAGACATCCAGCCGGAAGAAGATGAATTAGCCATGGCCAACGCCGTCATGCAGGTGGCCCAGAAGAAGCTGATTTCACAGGTGAGTCTTACAAAACGGTGCCACCTGGAGTAGCCACTTCCTTTTTACTTGCCCCAGAACAAAATAATTGGCAGTTGGTTTCAGTGGGAAGAGACGCCTCACTTCCCATCTTGCTCGTCATGCTACAAGTCACCATTCCTGGAAACGTTCTCATTTTTCAATTTTTTTCATTAGTTTACTAGTTGATAACCGGGCGTTTATCCCAGTCCTGTATCAGACAAGAAAATGAATGAATTATATGCATAGTGTCAAATCAAAGTAATTTTATTTACAGGCGATTAGAATAATCAAAGCCTTGTTGAAAATGTCCAGATTTTCTAATGTTGGATTTCCCCCCCCTTACCAGAGGGAGCCCCCTTGTGGAGTACTGTGAAACTGTTGCCATGTCAACTCCACTGCGCTGCACAGTAGAAGCCATTTTAGAGCAGTACAGTAGAAGCCATTTTAAGGCACGACAGGCTGTATCTTAACAGAACACACACCCTGAGGAGTTTTAGGAGTGTGTTACCCACACAGTATTTGTTTCCAGAGAGTAAGTCATCTGTGTATCAAGTTTGGTTGGCATTGCTTGAGGTGTTCCAGAGTTATGCTGGAACATACACACACACACACACGCACAGCCATTTTTATATACATAGATAAAGATAATAAAATAATAATGATAAAGATAATAGATAATAATAGTATAGAATACAACAAAAATACAAAAGAAAATAGTAGGGAAACGGTAGGGGAAAGTGGGAGAAAGCAAGAGCGGGAGAAGGAATTGACTTCCGACTCCCTTGGGTGCAGCAGAATAAGACATGAACATCTTACCTCAAGTTTTTACTGTGGCATAATAGTATAAACTAGCCATTTCTATAACAACAAATCTCTCTAATTGGTAAAACCCAAAATCAAAGCTTCATTTTTTCCCCCACCTGGAGCACAAAGTCCAGAAGTGGTTTCCAAGTCAAATTTCCAGTGGAAATGTCCTCAAATACCCAAAGTTGATCCCATCTCTACAAAGGCTTTCCTCAGTGTGTGCTCTCTCCATTGTTTAGGGTAGACAGCCCTCTTCACCTAAACGTATCTCTCTGTGCTCCATCCGAATTCTAGGTCCAAAAGAAGAATTTCATCGAAAACATCATCCCCATCATCACGTCGCTGAAGAGCTTGCTGGAGCAAAGCAAACTCCCAGTGTTGAAGGACCTCATGAATTACCTCCGGGTAATCTTGCTCAGTCAGTGATACGCCATTAAAATTTGAGTCGGGGGGCAGTGCGTTCCTGAAGGTAGTGGGATGTTTCACGTTCCATCAATTTAATTTAGCTAAGACGAATACTTTATTTATTGGCGCAGTGCTTAGAATGCAGGCTAATTCTGCCAACTGCCAGCAGTTCGATTCTCAACAGGGTCAAGGTTGATTCAGCCTTCCAGCCTTCCGAGGGCGGTAAAATGAGGTAAAATGTTCCGGGCAAATAGGCTGACTCTGTAAACCGCTTAAAGTGAGCTGTAAAAGAACTGTGAAGTGGTATATAAGTCTAAGTGCTATGGCTACTTCCTTCCCTTTCCTTATGGCAGGCTACCTCTGCCCGTAGCCATGAGTTCGACCCTGACTGGCTCAAGGTTGACTCAGCCTTCCATCCTTCTGAGGTGGGTAAAATGAGGAGCCAGATTGTTGGGGGCAAATATGCTGACTCTGTAAACCACTTAGGTAAAACACACTGTAAAGCGGTATTTAAGTCTAAGAGCTATTGCTATAGAAGTGTTTTCAACTTTAGCAACTTGAAGGTGTGTGGATTTCAACTCCCAGAATTCCCTAGTCACCTCACAGGGTTGTTGGGGGGGTGGGAATAGAAGGAAGGAGGAGTCTTAGATATGCCCGCCACCTTGAATTGCTCATAAAAATAATAAAGGTAGGATATATAAACTAAACAAATAAATGAATCATCTCAAATCCATCCAGAAAACCCCACCGGCCAATCCCCTTCCTGCCCTCTCCAACCCTTTTGCTTTCACTTTCGCTTTCCTCTAGGAGGTGATGCAAGACTATCGCAACGAAATCAAGGAATTCTTCGCCCTGGACAAGCAGCTGGCGGCTGAGCTGGAGTACGACATGAAGAAGTACGAGGAGCAGCTGGAGAGGGAGGCTGAGCAAGACCAGGAGCTGAACGCGGATCACGAAGGCCACAACACCCTGATGGCCAGGGCGGTACGGATCTCTCGTTCGGCTGCGGTTCAAGTCCCAGCGAGCTCACTCTGAAGCCGTTCGAACTCGGCTGCTGGAAAGTGGGGAGAGGGACAATATACCGTTGTCCTCAACCTACCACCGCAGTTGATCCCGTAATTTATGTTGCTAAGTGTGTCCGTTACAAAGTGAGTTTTGCCCCGTTTTATGACCTTCCTTGCCACAGTTGGTGAGTCCCCGCAGTTGTGAAGTTAGTAACCCCGGTTGTTAAGTGAATCTGGCTTCCCCATGGACTTTGCTTCTCATGACCCCGGGACACGACGACCATCATAAATATGAGTCGATTTCCAAACATCCGAATTTTGATTATGCGACCATGGGGGATGCGGCAATGGTTACAAGTGTGAAAAATGGTCGTAAGTCACATTTTTGTCAATGCCATTGAAACTTCCCATGGCCGTTAAATGAATCCTTGTAAGTTAAGGACAGCGAGACGCGGTGGCTCGGTAGTTTCTGAGCTTGTCGATCAGAAGGTCGGCAGTTCAGTGGTTCAAATCCCCCCCTTGACTTCAGTTGTCAGAAGGTCACAAAACCCCGGGGACACGGACACTGCAGCTGTCATAAATGTGAACCAGTTGCCAAGCATCCAAATTTTTATCACATAACCATGGAAATGTGGCAGTGGCCGTAAAGTGTAAAAAACGGTCATTAGTCACTTTTTTCAGTGCAAGTTGAAACTGAACAGTCGTTAAATGAAGGTCTGTAAGTCCACCAGAGCCAGAGCGGGTCATCGGGGGCAGAAAGCAGCTGTGCAGAGGCCATGGCATCTGGATTTGGCACATCTGGTTATAGCAGCTTTAGATTTACTCCCCCCACCCTTCCTCCCCAATGTATTGGATTTGTTAAAAATTGTAACGCACGTCGGGAACCAGTGACCATGGGATGCCGCAGTCATAAATGCTAGCCGATTGCCGAGCACCTCAAATGCGACTGTGTGATGGTCAGAACGTTGAACCTAGGCATCAAGTGAGGATCGCCTCCCGGGATTTCTAGGAAGAGCTCTCGAGGGTTGAGAGGGGAATAATGACGCTAAGCGTGGCTTCCTCTGCAGAGATGTGACGGAGGATGCTACCGCAATGGTCCTTTAGCCCCTTTCTGTTCTCTCCTTTAAATAAACAGACTCCTACCTTGGAGAGGACTTCACATCCTCGGAATCAGATGGGCGAGGCCTCCCCGCGTACCCAAAGCAATTCTTCACCACCTCTGCGATCTCCTCTCTCGGCCCTTGCAATGTTTCCCGTTCCTGGGCCGGGACCTACGAAGCCCCAACACAGGTACCCTTCCGGATCTCTCCCCTGCCTTTTCAGCACCCGTGGCACGAAAATGTGCTTAATCTGTTTACAACGGAGCGTTTTAATACCGTGTCCGCCACTCGGCAAGGGAATGCTTGAAGCTCCTAGGGTTGGGACGAAAGGGCCAGCCGTATGCGCTGTTTCGTTCTCGTCGTAGGAATTTATCCCTGAGTACTTCGTCCATCCTCAACTCTGCTAAGCGAGCCGCCGAGGCCGTGGAGACGAAGCGCGGCAGGAGCATGGGGAGCAGGCTGGAATCTCTGAGGAGCAGACAAAGCGATAAAGGTAGGGTGTTCCCCAGCCAGTTTGGCCTAGTGGTTAAGGCGCCAGGCTGGAAAGTGGGAGACAGAGAGTTCTAGTCCTCACTTAGCCATGAAAGTCGGCTGGGTAGCTTTGAGCTAATCACCAAGTTGCCAGTGTGTTCTAGTTTTGCCTTAGGCACGAAAGCCAGCTGAGTGTCCTTCAGCTAATCACCAGGAACTGGTGAATTCTAGTCCCACCTCAGTCATGAAAACCAGTTGGGTGACTTTGAGCCAATCACCAGGAGCCAGGGAATTCCAGTCCCGCCTTAGGCATGAAAGCCAATTGGGTGACTTTGAGCCAATCACCAGGAGCCAGGGAATTCCAGTCCCGCCTTAGGCATGAAAGCCAATTGGGTGACTTTGCGCCAAATATTCTCAGCTGAACTCAACATTGTTGTTTTTGTTGGGGAAATATTGGGTGGAAGATATGTTGCATATGTTTCCCGCCTTGAGTTATTTGTAGAAATAATAAAAGCGGGATACAAATCAATAAACATCGAGTAAATAGAGCCGTGTTTCTCAACCTTGGCAACTTGAAGATGTCGGGACTTGAAGTCCAGACATCTTCAAGTTGCCAAGGTTGAGAAACACTGAAATAGAGGGTAGAAAGTGAGGCAAGTAGGCTAACATACTACAGATATTTTCTGTGGCTAACATTACCCCTTTCTCCCCCCCCCCCTTCCTTCTTAGCTTCCTTTTGCAGCCTCAACCGACCATCTTCCCTTACCAAAGGACCCTTGGAAGGCCGCGCGATCAGTACTCCTGAACGTAAGTGTCTTTTAAAAAACCCTCTTTTTCTTTGAGAGTCTCCCTGCTTGGAGGAAGGGCAGCCGGACTGCTCCGGAGAGAGTCTTAATTCGAACATTGCCTTCCAAAACATACATCTCAATGCCATTGACACCCAGTTCAACAAGGACAAGGAAGGTAGATATTGGCAGCGCCACACATGGATGCCCTTACTGGGTGCCTTTTCAATTAGCATTGTTTATAGTCACACTTTAAAAGTAAAGGTTCCCCTCGCGCATATGTGCTAGTCGTTCCTGACTCTAAGTGGCTTACAGAATCAGCATCTTGCCCCCGACAGTCTGGGTCCTCGTTTTACCGACTTTGGAAAGGAGGGAAGCTCAGTCACCCTTGAGCCGGTCAGGATCGAACTGCCGAACTGCTGGCAGACTTAGCCCTGCAGTCCTGCGTTCTAACCACTGCACCACCACGGCTGGCTAGCTGATTAAGCGACATTCCTTGGTGAAAAAGGCCAGGTATAAATTGTAATAAAACATTTTGAGTTTTTCCCCGTCAGCGTGCGCTCAAGGTGGTGCATTTTTTTTTGTTTTTCCAGAGTCCATTAACAACGTGACCTTCGGAGCCGGAGTCAGCCGAATTAGACTGAGCCTCACATCACCTTCTTGTAAAGGCAGGTGGAATCCCAAATTTCGGGAGTGTCTCTTTTAAAAAGCAAAAACAAAAACCTAAGCTTGGAAAAAATATAATATCTCTTCTGTTCGTCCTGCAGTCAAAGAGGAACCAGAAACTCTGCAGGAGCAGGTGATTTGCTTGACCTCACCAGATAAATTGTGAGTATAAACGAATCAGTGTGTTTGTGTGTGTGTGTGTCTAAGGGTGGGTTTCACTTTAAAAAGTTAAACTAACTAGACTTCCCCTTTCTCATAATTCCTATTAACCCCAATTTGTGTTCGGAGACTACAATTGGTCCAGAATGCAGCCGCGCGAGCGATACTGGGTGTACCAAGGTACACCCACACTACACCTATCCTCCGCGAGCT